GAGATAAATCCTGGGAGAGCAACTCTACTTCATATTGTAAATTTAGATTTTAAAATTACTACATAAATAGTATGATGGGGAATGTACTGTGTATGTTTATCTTATTGATTGTTAAATAAAGGCCTGTTTGGCCAATGAGACAGCAAGTTAAACAGGACTAGGAGTCAAAGAGGATTCTGGGAAATGTAGTAGAGAAGTGGTGATCTGGGCATGAAGTGACATAGCAAGGAGACTCATATTTAAGCAAGGGAAAACAGGAAGTGGTCCCTTTTCCCCTCGGTGCCTCCTCCAGTGGTGCAATGTGAGCCACTGGTAAGAGAGGGCGGCAGCAGAAGGCATCCTCTATAAGGTAAGTCTTATAAAATACATAGATTTATGATAATTAAGACTGAGCTAACAGATAAGAATCCTAGTCATTGGCCAAGTGGTATTTGAACCTAATACAAGTCTCTCTGTGTATTAATTTGGGCCCTAACTCGGGCGGGCAGCTGGCATAAAGTGCACAGTGGTGATGGGGCTCGGCGGCTTTGGGCGGAAAGATTTATTGTAACAATAGTAGAGTTCCCATGTATCACTCATACAGTTTTCTCTAGCATTTATCTTCCAGCAATGCATTTACCATAAGAAGGAAAAGCATATTGTCACATTCCAGGAACTAAAGCCAGTAATTTATTCATATAATTTTAGTTTTTGTGGCATATCTTTTTTAAGGTTCTGCTTGAGTATAACAGATTCTAAGATTTGTATTCAAGTAGTACTGGTTGGATAGTTTAGAAAATGTTCCTCAATTGTGATATATCCAATTAGTTCTTATGAACAATCTCACAGAGGTAAAATGCTATATTTATTGCATCATATCACTAACAAAACTGGTATAATCCTTATATCTAGTAAGGTTTTTATATTATAAACTTGATTTTTTCTGATGCAACCTGCCTTTACTTTTCTTTTGGTTTTTTGAGACAGGGTTTCTCTGTGTAGCTTTGGAGCCTATCCTGGCACTCGCTCTGGAGATCAGGCTGGCCTCGAACTCACAGAGATCCACCTGCCTCTGCCTCCCGAGTGCTGGGATTAAAGACATGCGCCATCAACGTCCGAACTGCCATTACTTTTTATTTCACTCCTTCCATGATTGTATCTTCTTGTATCGTAATACTTTTGTCTCAGTTTTAAGGAGTTCAGAGTAGTGGTGCATTTAACTGGGAAGAGCACTGTGAATTTTTGAAGGAGAAATGTCCTACATAAGCTCTAGCTTTGAATACCCGATCCCTAGTTGGTGGTGCTGTTTGGTGAGGATTAGGAGGTATAGTCTTGCTGGAGAAGGAAGTATGTAACTCGGCTTTGAGAGTTATAGCTTTCCCCCCTCTCTGCTTTCTGCTTATGATTGAGATTTATCTCTCAGCTTTCTGTTCCTGCTTGCTATGCTTGCCCATGCCTGCTCACCATGATAGGCTCTTTATCCCCCTTGAACCATGAGCCCACACAACCCTTTTGTTCCTATAAGGTGACTTCGTTATGGTGCTTTTTCACAGCATCAGAATAGAAACTAATGTAGTCATTTAATAAATTACTAGAAATTCTGTATTATGATATTATCTATTTGAAGACTCAACTTCCAGAGACTTTGACCTTTATGAATTCTTTCCAAAAGCTCTTCTGTTTCTTTGAATTCCTCCATCACTGTAAGTTGTTTAGCCTTTTGTTACCTTCTTAATGTACAGAATATTCTATAATCAGATTATACATACTCTGCCTCAGTATATGTATGTACAGACATACATAAGAATGTATAAATGCCTCATCTATGCATCTGTGCATATATATGTGTATGTGTATTTTATCATTTTAATACAGTATTATATTTATTCTTTGAGAATTTCACATATTCATACAAAATATTTTAATAATATTTATTGCTACCTCTCTTCTTCCATCTCTAGGTACACCCTCCAATTATGCCCTCTTATTGTTTTTATAACCTCCAAATCCAATAAAAAAACCTTTTGGATTTAATATGTATGTGTTTTTGATGCATCTATAATTAAAATAATAATAATGATGTTATTTAGCTATATAAATTGAGCATAACTTCTATTTTTAAATATTACAGAAAAATTTCTATTGAAATATTAGAGAGACTTAAAAATGCAGGTGAGTGCACAATAAAGTGAAATGAAGAGATTTCCAGCATAAGAAAGTTATATTTTATTTTTTTCTTTAGTTTCTTTTTGTTTTAAACAGAGCCTCATATACACCAGACTGTCTTCACTTTTCCTTTGTAGTCCATGTAGCCAAGGACTACTGATCCTTCTTTTCTGCAGTAGTCTTACAGAGGAAATACAGTTAAGTAATTAAAGTATATAAACGTAGCTACTAGTTTTTTCAAATGGGAATTATTTCTTATTTTTTTGAAGCACAAAGATAATTTTATTAGAGTTTGAAAAAAAGATGACGGAGCAGGCAAGCTGTGAAACTCAGCAGCTGTCTGGAGGAAGAGAACGGAAGGGAGAAGGGAGAGCCATGCCACTTAAAGTCTAGCACATGCAGCTATGTGTCAGGGAGGGGAGCTTTAAAGAAAGAAGAAGATAGCCCACCCAACATGTTAGGGTGGGAGATGCTCAAGTATAAAAGAAAGCATACTTAGAAAATAGAAGGAAGTAATGGAAAAGTTACGATTTTCTTAGTAATTCAATAATGCATGCAGACTTATGAGTATCTATGGCTGTGTTCCATTGGTTTTTGCCTTGTTTTAATTTTAAGGTATTATATTCTTGCATTGTTAAGTATACCTTGCTCCTCTACAAACAAGGCTAACTAAAACTTCAAAGTATAATTTCACTATTTATTGGTTTGTTTGACAAAGACATTTGTAGCACAAGAGGGACAGATTTGACCACTATGTAGCCCCACTGGCCTCATCACTCACTTTTTAACTAAGGAGTAAACTTGTAAAGTATAGGTTGATAGCTCTGATTATCAGTTCATTTATATTTATTTTCATAATTATTGCCATCATGTAATAATGTACCTAAAATAAATATGCATAATAAAGTTTAAACTTCGAAAGCATGTGTTATGCTAAATAAGAGTTCATAGTCAACAAACCATCAAACTGTATAAAGTGGGGGAGGGGGTCAGCACCAGCTGTATAAATTGAGTACATGGCTGCTTCAAGGTAAGATTAAGAAGTTTTTATTGTTGCAATTAGGAAGAGGGCAGCCAGAAGCATCCGCAAGAGTCCAGAGCAGGAGAGAAAGTAGTAGACTAAACATGGGCAGTAGACAGGACTGAGTCATGAGAGGAGAGAGGGAGAGAGGAAGAGAGAGAACACAGAGTGGAGAAGGCCAAGAGAGATATCCAGGAGCCAAGCGAGCCATAAGAAAGGGGGAAAAGAGAGAAAGGACCAAGAGGACAGATGGCTAAATTGGCAGGGTTATATAGGACAGAGAAGTTGGGGGAAGAGAAGCACATGAGTTGGAGAATTTTAGGTGAGGGGAGACATAAGAAGAGCTGAGAGGAACCACAGATTCTGAGTGAGCCTGGAGGCCAGCTGATATGTTAGTATGCTGATAGGCAATACAATTAGTCATTTATCCTGAGTTCCTTTTGGACATGAAACAAACATTTTTATTAATTTTTTATTTGAATTAGAAAGATTATTTTACATGTCAATCGGAGTTCCCTCTCCCTCCCGTCCTCCCCTAACACCCCAACTAACACCCTACCTATCCCATATCATTTATGCTCCCCAGGAATGGTGAGGCCTTCTGTAGGGGGTCTTTATAGTCTGTCATATACTTTGGGATAGGGCCTAGGCCAACCCCCTTGTGTCTAGGCTCATGGAGTATCCCTCCATGTGGGATGGGTTCCCAAAGTCTATTCCTATGCTAGGGGTAAGTACTAATCCACTAAAAGGGGCCCCACAGATTTCCAAAGTCTCCCCACTGACACCCCCATTTAGGGGGTCTGGATCAGTCCCATGCTGGTTTCCCAGCTTTCAGTCTGGGGACCAAGAGCTCTCCCTTGTTCAGGTCAGCTGTTTCTGTGGGTTTCACCAGCCTGGTATGGACCCCTTTGCTCATCAGTCCTCCTCAGCAACTGGATTCCAGTTCAGTTCAAGGTTTAGCTGTGAGTGTCGGATTCTGCTTCCAGCAGCTGGTTGTTGAAGACTATATGATGGCATATAAGTTAGTCATCAATCTCATTATCAGGGGAGAGCATTTAAGGTAGCCTCTCCTCTGTTGCTTAGATTGTTAGTTGGTGTCATCTTTGTAGCTCTCCAGACATTTCCCTAGTGCCTGAATTCTCTTTAAACCTATCTCTCTTTCTATTATAGTATCTCTTATCTTGCTCTCTTCTGTTCTTCCCCCAAATCAACCTCCCTACCCCATCATGTTCTCCTCACCCCTGTTCTTCTCCCCTTCTCATTTGCCTAGTTCCCTCTCCCCTCCCTCTACATTCCAAATTTGCTCAGGAGATCGTGTCCCTTTCCCCTTCTCCAGGGGACCATGTATGTTTCTCTTAGGGTCCTCCTTGTTTACTAGCTTCTCTGGCAGTGTGGATTGCAGGCTGGTAATCAGTTCCTCTATGTCTAAAATCCACATATGAGTGAGTACATACAATGTTTGTGTTTTTGTGACTGGATTGCCTTGCTCAGAATGGTTTTTTCTAGTTCCATCCTTTGCCTACGAATTTCAGGATTCCATTGTTTTATTTTTCCTGCTGAGTAGTACTCTATTGTGTAAATGCACCACATATTCTTTATCCATCCTTCAGTTGAGGGGCATCTAGATTGCTTCCAGGCTCTGGCTATTACAAATAATGCTGAAATGAACATCATTGAACAGATGTCCTTGTTGTATGAATGTGCTTCTTTTGGGTACATGCCTAAGAGTGAAATTGCTGAATCTTGTGGTAGATGGATTCCCATTTTCCTGAGGAATCGCCATACTTATTTCCAATGTGACCAGCACCATTTGTTAAAGATGCTTTCTTTTTTCCATTGTATAACAAGGTAGATAGCTACCACAGTCTTCTGTTCTGCCTGGGGGTGAATAGAAAAAGCAGACCATTACAGGAGACATCGAGCAACTGCCCTGCCCTCTCCTTTTAAGAGGTCATAGCAGCAGACAAGAAGCAAAGCCTCTATCTGGCCAGATAACCCAAGGTCATGGGCACCCACTACACAAAGGTTCTATGCAAGCTTCCAAGGGAGAATAGGGCTCAATAGCCCCACTGAACTCTAAAGCCAACAGTGGCCAACATGGCAAGATAGCTCTGCTTGTGCAATACATCTGTCTAATTGGATTTAAAGCCTGCTCAATAGGAGGGAATTCACACCTGGTATTGTAAACCTAACCCATGACCTGTGCCTGGTGAAGCAATGAATTTTAGAAGAGACACACTACTTCCACTTCACTAAATTAGTGTAATTAGCATAAGTTTTAATTGTACTCCAAATCCTTTTCCTTATATTCACAAATAAGTGTACTCTCACCTCCCACCAACGGAATTTCTTTCTGAAGCAGAAGACCATTACAGAAAATTACAACCGCTCAAAATGCAGACAACAATTGACTGTCGAATGCCCAGTTACATATAATATAGCTACAATACAACATTGGTATCTGAGGCTCAAGGAACACAGCACACATGGTAAAGGAATATTATTAATTCCGAAGACCCTGAATACCACATTTGCTTAAAGATAATGTTATCTATACATAAAGTTACACCCAGAAAATATCAATAATATTGTTGACTAAACAAGATGCTCCCAGTAACAATAACCAGCTGACATGAAGAGCTACATACAATTAATGGTTGGTGAGACAGGGAGGATCAGTCTTCTGGGATAAATCCCCTAAAAGTCAGTCAATCATAAATGAACAACAGGAAATGATATCAGCAGTTTATGATTATAAAGATAATTGTATATTATAATTTAAGAATGAGGGGGCATGAATTTGAGCATGAGTGGAAGGGACACCAGAGGAATTTGAGGGAGAAGAACTACACTCATGATATAATAATTTTTGAAGAACTGAGAAATAATTCTAATCCAGCTATAACACTACTGGGCATATAACTAAAGGATTATCTATCTTAGTGCATCAGTATTTGTCCATTCATGTTACTGATATTCTATTCACAGTATCCCCAAAATGGAAATGGCCACCAACTGATGAATAGATATTGAAAATTTTATATATTGCATAATGGAATATTATTTAGCTGTTGAATGGATAGAATTGGATATAATTCTAGATGTGATAACTCAGAAAAACATGTTCTCTCTTGTATGTGGATGCTAGTATTGAAATGTCAGATCTGTATCTTTAAATGGAGCACCCTTAGAAGTCAGGAAACCAGGTAGGGGACATGGGAGTTGGGCTGTCAAAGGAGTGGAGGATGGAAGGAATGCAGGTGGAAGAAGTGGGAATGTGTAATAACAGAGCAAACGGTTTAAATGGAATGGGAGATGGGTGAGCAGAGCAGAGGAAGGTATATGAGGAAGGATAACCAACACTAGTGCTCTTTGAAAAATCCAAATGGAAACCTACTACTATAAAAGATCCCTAATCTATGTAGATACACATATATTTTTAAAAGTATTTTAGGATAACTTTAGCCATGTAGCCAAGTAAATGAAAGACTTATATGCTAAACACTTTAAAACACTGAAAAAAGAAACAGAAGAAGTCACCAGAAAATGGAAAGTTCTCCCATGATCATGCATCACTATGATCAATATTGAGAAAATGGACATCATATTGAAAGTTATCTCCTTGTACAATGTATTCTCCATCAAAATTCCAAAATGATTCTTCATGGAAATTTAAAAAAAATACAGAGCTATAGTTCTACACACAGCATGGTATTGGCATAAAAGAATACATAGCGATCAATGGAATGGAATTAAATATCAAATAAAACATCAAGGACATGCCTTTTAGAGTTGATGGTCATTAGAATTCCATAAACTCATAAACATTACAAGCTATTACTATTGTTCTTGGTTGTCCTCCAGAATTTTATGATAAAGACTATTGCTGAAGACATCAAATACTTGAGTCAAAGAACATAGAGAATCAAGCTGTTACTAATCTGGAAGCTTCATCTCAATTTGATAGCTTTCTTATTGTAGGAAAGTGCAATGGTTCTGCCAGAGGACAAAAGCAATCATACCTACTGCTGAACCCTGTAAGATATAATAACAACTACCATGGCAAAGTACGCCCTTTAATGCAATAGTAGCACAAATGTCAGGGAAGTAACCAATCACTTTCTAATTGGATTTAAGTCCCTCTCCACAAAATAAAACCAACATGCAGAACCATTATTAGGCCAAGAATATATAGCTAGACCAGTAATAGGCCCTAGTGGAGAAACTGCCACTATGATTTTGCTAAGTGGACAGAGTGTTATTAAACTGAATTCTAATGACTTATCATTATATGCACAAATCAATACATTTCTCAACCTATATCTGAAAAGCTTCTTTTTGGATTAGATTGTGATTAACACACAGACCCACAACTGGCCAAGGTGCAGTGAATAAGAGGCTGAAGAATTCTTAGCCCTAAAGAGAACTTACATGCCACAAGGTCCCCTGGGCAAGCATCAGGAATCATTGTAGAAAAGCAGGCAGAAAAATGACAAGATCCAGAAGCAATGATGGTTGTAAGGAAAGACTATCTTCAGAACACAGCAGAGAAGCTGCACCCATGAACTGACAGTGGTAGCAAATGCATGCACAAAATCTGTGCAAGTCAAATCGGACAGAATTCCAGCATGGAGAAGGGATTTGGGCACACCATCCCACATCTCACCATAGAATTATAGACAGCTGTTAGCTGCTGAAAATGAAGATATAGTTTTCTATGAGTGTAGCCCCTGTAAAATCAATCATGCTCCAGTGGCCACACTGGAGCCACACATCCAGGAATATTCAGACAGGTGAAAGTGATCTTGAGGGGCTTAACAATGTATCCAACGTTGGGTGTGTAGGAAATGGGGGTAAAACTGGGAAAGGTTGATGAGGGGGTGAATATGATCAAAACATTTCATATGAAATTCCCAATAACTAATTTAAAAAGATGTCTTAATAATCTTCTATTTCAATTAGCTTAAGAATATGATGTTTTAAATTCAGACATCATCCTATGTGTTTCCAGTGCATATGAGTTCCCTTATAATGGTTAAATTAATAACTCTAGTACTCCAACAATGTATTTTACAGTTCATTTCTCACAACTCTAAATGATTGCATGTACTACCAACTCTACTGCTAACACTTCTATCCACAATTCATTAAGTAATAAAATATCATGTCTTCATTGGAACCAAGAACCTGTCACATTACTTTTCAAACTCAGATATCAGTTAATTGCTGCATATTTATCCATGAATTCATGCAATGTCAGAAGGAGGTAGTTGTGTTGAATCTTTCTTAACTTCATGCTAATTATTGTAATATTTTTACAACAGTTAAAAAAGAATTGCATGTAAAATCAAATGAAAATGGAGCTACAGCCAATATATCTGTGTATTATCAATCTTAAGGAGACTCTAAAACAAGAGGTAAATTAACACAAATGGAAAAGGAGACTGCTAACAGAATTAAAGGCAGCCCAGAAAAAAAAAAGTTGGCAAAAAGTCACATAAATGCAACTCTTGCCAATATTTCATGACACAGAAATTAAATTTATAAAATTTAGAAGCTAACTCACACATGGAAATGAACTTGACATTTTGCCAAGACACAGAAATTGTGTGCCTTCCAATATTGGTCATGTGACTCAAAAGAAAACACTGTTTAGACTACTCATAATACACATTTACAAATAAATATTTTTAATTTCTCAATATTTTAAAAATAAGATTATAATTAAATAATATTTCCATTGTGCTAGTAATTTCTTACAGAAAACATTTTAAATGTTTTGACAAAACTTTATAGTCATGATCACATTTGTTTTGATTTTTTTAAGTGCCTTCATAGTTTCAGCTCGCATGGTCATTTTTATTATCCTGCTATGGTACAAAGTGAAGAAGTGTTTTATTTTTGCTTTATAAGTCACTGTTCAACTAAATAGCTCCTCCATTACAGTGCATAATTTTCAAGCATGGTCTTGCTTAATTTCCTCAACGACTGAGATACCATGGCTTGGAAGATAGTATTGTGGTATTTATCTGAGAGATCAGCATGATGATTTGGGCCCTAAAAGAAATAACTGGTAAATGTAAACTTGTGTTGAAATGTAGTTTCATATGAATCTAAATTTCTGGTGTGTCTTTCTGTGCAAATAATTCTGGAGAATAGAACCCTGTCTCCTAAATCTAGATAATTTTAATAACACATTTCATATTTTAAGATTATTAGAATCTAGTTACTCAAAGTTAATTCACTTTTGAAATCAAAGAATAGGTATTGCAAGTCTCCAAAATTAAAATTATTTTAAAATATTAAAGAGAAATCAATCAGTGTGCATTACAAAGTCCCCAATAGGCAAACGGTAAGCACTCTGAGAGACATGGTAAAAAGAACAGGAGTGGTACTTGTTTTTTTTTTTATTAGAGGAACAAACACAACAGATACTCAAGTGTAAATTTATAGACTTCAGAATTTCTCTTGTAAGCATTCAATGACAGAAACAGCAAACAAAGAATGGTGCATAAAAATTACTCCAACCTGAACTTACAATGGCAGAGGCAGCAGCAGCAACAGGCATGTGGCAATGAGCATTGTCTGCACAATGGCATCAGCCTTGTTTCTTGCTTGTTCATGTTATTTCTTAGGAAGTAGCTAGGTGGGGAGAGAATTGTTGGCAATACCATTCATAAAACTAATTGCTTACATTCAGCTAATCAAAAGGAGACTTGCCTCTAGAGACTAAAATTTGTTAGGAAGTGTCAGGAAAACAGTCTTTGAAATGGGATTTCCGTCAGTTCAGTTTTAGAATCACATTGGAAAATTCTCAAGAGCTGCCTTTCTTCTGGTTCCTGTCAAAATATCAACAATACAAGGGTAAACTGTCCTGTAAATCCATTTAGAAGAACATTTTAGAAGCTCTAAAATGACTGTGAAATTTTTCCACTGTACAAATGATTCTTTACAAAAATGTAGTAAGCAGCACTATACTATACAAACTCTGAATAGATTCCTATCTGTTCTCTATGCAATAATTTTATGGCTCCAAAGTGAAAGTATGGAATCTTCTAGGAAGAACTAAGAAATTTCTACATATGTCAAAAATCATTAAAGCCACTCTAATTACATTTTAAATAAAGAATTTAACCTCTAGAATCACCAGTGTAATTAAATATGAAATCAAACCTAGAGACTTTGATAAAAGTTTTGTAGTTCCTACAATGTTAAATAGAGTTCTCATACGATCTATCAATTCCCTTCCTGCAAACGTACATAAAAGTGAAAACATATACTTATCTGAGTAGTATTAGTTATAGTAGTTAGAAATGGAAAGAGCCTATGTGAATATTAAATTGAAGAATGGGTCAATAAAACATGGTATCTACTTATAATGGAATGTTATTCAATAAAAAACTAGAAATTAATTAATAAACACTTGTTACAGTGTAAATGAACCTTGAAAACATTATGCTTTATTTATGATAATATAATCTGCAATCCCGACAATTTGAAATGTGGTGTAGGAGGATTGTGAATGCATGTTCAGACTACAATAAACAATAAATTGAGTTCAAGATGAATTGCATAGTGTGATAGATAGTCTAAAACAAATGCTAAGCAAAAGAAGGCAATTATAAAGGACCATTGTGTGTGTCATCTACTTGACAGGACTTGTGAATTCATACAAATGAAATACTTTAGCAGTTGTTGGATCTAGCACGTTGTCAGTGAAATATGACATATTTTGAAGTGAAAAGTATTGTAATAGATGTGAACAATGTGTGAATTACCCATGTGTAAAAATATTACATTGAGAGGGTCTGGGCCCAGCCCAAGATGATGTGGTGGACTTTGGGGAGCCCACGTCGAGGGCCCTATCCAGCCTGGGGAGTGGAGGGTGGATGGGGCTGAGGGCAGGTGGGAGGTTGGGGGGATGGTTGGGGGGAGGAGAGGGAGATGGAGGAGAGATTGACATGTGAAGCAAGCTTGTTCCAAATTTGAATTAATAAAAAATTACAAAAAAATATTACATTGAACCCCAATATACAATTCAAATGTGTTGAAAATTAGAACAAAATAAAATATATTAAGAAATTTTAAAAAGTACTCTAAATAATGATGAGATTTTACAATTATAAAAATACAAAAATATTAAATTATGGACTTCTCATTTGTAATTTAATTTCTACCATTTTTTGTCCCACAAATTTAAAAAGTGATAAACTGGACTTTTCACTGTGTAATATGTCTATCAGGCTTGCATTATTTTTCTTTTGAATTAAAATAGCAATAGATTATGTTTAGACATTCGTTTTGAAGTTATATGACATTGGCATCTATTCATTACCCTGCCACTTTCTGCTTGTATGTTCTTTAGCTATCTAATTATTTATGCTTTATTTAATTCTGTCATGACTAAATATCAAATAATAGCACTCGACTCATAAGATTTTCAGGAGAGTCAAATGTTCTACTGTAGATAATGAGAAACTCTTGAGTCTTTGGTAGGCCCTGAATAATTCATAGCTTTAAAAAGTAAGGAACAACAACTTTCCTTAGATCTTCTATACTCTGTTCATCTCTTGTTCTGGGACCTGGTGACACATGGGAAATCCAATTGAAATGTTTCTTAGTATCTACTCACTTATTACTGAGTGATTGCTCCTGGGTTACTTTCATATTTTATGTGATCTTAAGCTCCTGAAAGTCACTAATTAAATATTTGTCTTTGATCTTGCCACACACAAACTAACAAAGTTTATACACAAAATTTTCATGGATATTGATTCTTGATGAAGTGAGAAAAGTTAAGCCAGAATTCTGCCTGAACAATAGACTGTAAACCCTTCAGAGAGGGTATCTGTGAGTGATGCAGTCAGACTTCTGACAAGAGAATGACACGTTCCAGGTTAACACTTATGTTTATTTAATGTGGAGAATTTTAAAGAGATTTGTTTACATTTGGGATAGTTAAAGTTGTGTATGTGCTCATGAGTGTGTGTGTGTGTGTGTGTGTGTGTGTGTGTGTGTGTGTGTATTATATCTGTATGTTGGAGGGGTTGTAATTCCAAAAAAAAAAAATTGCCAAGTTAATAATATGCATATACCTTTTTAACAAGCAAGGGATTCCTTCAAGAAAAGTTGCAAAGGTATTTGATGAGTCCATGAAAACTACTTACAGTTTCCTAGTGCAATCACTTTACTTCCATATTCTTCAGCTGCTCTTTTTCAAAATAAAGATAACTGATGAAATAATACTCAAAAACTTCTTCTATTCCTAATATATTACAATTCAGTTTTGCTTTGCTCTTCTAAATTCTGCACTCTAATAAATTATATATTAATAGGTAATATTAAATAATTTAAATGTAACAAGAAGGCTTTATGAAAGAAAAATGAAAAATTGACCTTTTTCTTTTTTCATAAATAAGTTATATTGTCTGTTTAAAATTAGTATTTCATTTCATTTTGTGAAATGTATAACTGCTACAGAAAAATAAAGAGAAGAAATTAAACACAAGGTTACAATGAAATGAAAAGAGCACATACTTAAAACAAAGTTTGTTCTATTACTAAAGTTGTTTCATGGAAGTAGGAGAGTAAGTACAATTTCTTTGCACAATTTTCTGTCTACATCAATATGTAAATAGCAGTATAGAAGCAAATTGGCTATGAATTGTTATGACATATGCGTAAACATCTAATCATATGTGAGTTATTTGCTAACTCCCTTCATCATACTATTGTTTACGCAACAAGGAAGTTTTACCTACTAATTTGCCTTTGGATCATTGTTTTGATATGGAGACATTTCATCTGATGAAGTAGTTTTACCTGATCCTTTAGACTTTCTATTTGGTGATATTCACTCTAACTGGGGAGTAGTGATAGTCATGATCAGTGCTGGGTTAAGCGTTAAATTGTTCAAAACTATATCTTTATTCCAGATGCCCTTCACATCCTGTTGTCAGATTCATAATGCCCTTAACTTCCCAGGGAGTTTTGCTCTTATCACTGTGTTATGTAGTTTGGAAATGTGATAGAACAGGCAGCATGTTTTACTCATGTGTTGGTGGACTGCGGTTATTGTATTATGTACGTCATACAGTGTTTTGAAGTTTATGATGAGGATTGTTTTCTTTTGCACTGACAGAATTTAAACAGAGTCCATCCAAAAGTTCCCCCAACAGACACAACTTTCTTTGTAAGCCTGCTTATCTTCTACTTCCTTATATCTATCAAAGAAAATGTCTTCTAACAACAATGGGAATTGCAACAAAAGGAAATTGGTGAGCTAATGAAAACTGAACAGACTTTCTGTAATAAAAATTTACTGTCTTTCTAATATGACTCATTCTTCCTCCATTGGTTGATTGCCAGAAGATTTAGATGTGATTGTCTCCATTCTCAGTGATAGCACTGAATCCACAGGAATCTAGGCTAATTGCAATAACATTACCCCATTCAATAAATGGGATCTCACACCAATAGAAATCCAAACATGTACCTCAGAACTATACAGTGTGGTAAGTGATAAAAGGTGTTACCCACATTGAAATAAAGGATAGAACACAGCTCTTTAAATATAGCATTAAACCTCAACGATAGCGTGCTTTACACACTTCCCAAATATGTAAATCAGTAAACTCTTATATTTTGCATATGTTGGAGTTGGGATTCTTGTAATCTAATATTTCCTCACTGCTACATGTTGTGTCTAAAATTCTTAATGTTTTACAGCTTCCTGTTAATCTCTTTTTATAATTTATACTAAAATATTTTGTGCTATCAACAGTCATAAAATTAACGAGCCCTTAACTGAAATGCACTTTCAAAATTATTGAAATTTTGAACAATATTTTAGTCTACATTTTTTAAAAACCATAATTGAGAATATAATAATGGTTATAGGATTTAATTTGTAGAAAAAATAAAATGACTTGATATTTTAAAGGTCTACCATCTGATGTGATATTAGATGGCATGTAGCAAAATTGTTGATACATAAATGTCATGAAGAAGCTGTCACATGGTGTCTCTCAGTTGTAAAAGATTTGTTTGTATAATGACCTAAGAAAATACCCTAAAGGAGCAGATACATATATTACAATCTTATTTTTGGCACACAGGTTAATCTTGTTACCAGGAAACCTATATATAAAGAAAGGAACCCAAACATAGACATTTTAAGAGATATATTGGCTATATATTGTACTAAATGATGTGGTTTGAATATTGTCTACCTCTCCAGGGTTCATATTCTGGAGTGCTGTTCGGTCCTCAGTGTGACTAAGGAAATTGAGCATTTTAGTATTACAGCCTTGTGAGAGAGACTAAATTGTTAGGGATATATACTCAGATACTTAGGTACTTCTCTTGGGACATGGGACCTTAAGTTATTTCTCCCAGAAAAATGTCTTACAAACCCCTGAAATGTTCTCTGTTACCTTTTGTGACCATACTTGCTCCAACTACAGTGATGCATTCTGTGTTGAGTTCTTCCTCAGAGCTGATCTGTAAGTGCTGACAGTAAGCACTATTTCCCTGAACCAGAAGTATGGGCTGGTCAGACGTTTTTGTTTGTAAAGTTAATCTGATTCATATTTGTATAGTAAGGAAAAATTACTATACAAACCCTATCCCTATCCCTATCCCTATCCCTATCCCTATCCCTATCCCTATCCCTATCCCTATCTCTATCCCTATCCCTAACCCTAACCCTAACCCTAACCCTAACCCTAACCCTAACCCTAACCCTAACCCTAACCCTAACCCTAACCCTAACCCTAACCCAATTGTTTGAGGGAAGGGAATACTTCAGGCATTTCAGTGGTTTGAAGGAAGGGAGGGTGTCACTTTGAAAGATTAAGCTCTATCCAAACACAGGCTAAGAATTATTACTAGAAGTCGTTGAACATGTCGACAAGGAATGATATGATCTCCATAACATCAAAGTCCAGAAACTGTGGCTTACTTAGAATTTTCAAGGCAAGCTTTATCTGGAAAATACAAATTTACAAGTGACATTTTCGAGTACACTGTGAACATAAGAAATAAAGAACAATAAATGTGAACATTCAAACCCAATTGACTGGAAAACAACTCTCTTCTGAATTCTCACTGTACTTTGCTCAATTCATGAATAAAGACATGACTTTTTAAAACTATGTTTACAACTATGAGGTTTTAACAGGAAAGAAATGAATAAGGGAAATAATTACTAGTAATTCCATGGAAATCATAAATCAGACATCTGAGAATTAAATCAAATTAAAAACCTAAAGGTGTTAAAATTTTTGTTTAAATTAAAGATAAAGAAGAAGAGGAGGAAGGCGCAAGATGAGACACAAGATGAGACATATTAACCAGTTTATTATAGGCCTGGCAGAGTAGGGAGACGAAGAGAGAAGAGAAACAGGGTTAATGGCTGACTGCCATGGCCAGTTGCCATGGGGAGAGAGGAGAAGCAGAAGCAGACAGAGAAGAGGAGAAGAGTAGAGAGTGTAGAGAGAGCATAAATGAGCAGGGATTAAAGGGGTCCTCTGCACCTGTGTGCAGACTTAGTTCCCATGGAACCCTGGGCTGACCAGGGTGCTGCCAGCATAATGCCTGAACCTTTCAAAAGGGACACACATATATTTTACAAGGACCTTCATCCTAATTTATTCACTTTGTATGTATGTGGTATATGCATGTGTATGTACAGATATGTGTGTGTGTGTGTGTGTGTGTGTGTGTGTGTGAGAGAGAGAGAGAGAGCGAGAGAGAGAGCGAGAGCGAGAGAGAGAGAGAGAGAGAGAGAGAGAGAGGTTGGAAGTTGACTCAGACGTCTTCCTCAATCACTTCTCTATTTTATTTTTTAGAGAGTCTCTCACTAAACCTGAAACTGACAGTTGACTAGACTAAGTGGCAAGTCCCAGAGATCATTTTGTCTCTGCTTCTCCAGTGCTGAACTTACAATACACTTGACTTTAAGATCTGAATTCAGGTTTTCATGCTTGTATAATAAGCACTAAACTGCGCTGAGCTACTTCCTTGGACTAAACAAAAACTTTCTAATAAACTGACAGAGAATCCTCTAATGATCATTAAAGAATTACTCATTTTATCCATCAATTTCACTGTCTCTTCATGTGTTTAATTGAAATGTGTTTATAGAGGTTACACGTGCTATTGTAAAATAAAAAGCAAGTTTAAAAGTTTAAAAGGCTTTATACCTGTATATTAGAAACTCTACTCAAGGTATAGAAGCTATAGAAGATGAACAAAAATGTTCATGTTTAAGGTACTCACATTCTACATATTAATGAAATATCTTTATTGCGGAAGACACCTGATAACAAATTTGGGGGCATATTTTCTCTTCATTTCAAGCTTTACCTCTGCCCACGTATTTTGCATTAAAATAATCTTACTTATCTACAAATTTTACTTCTCTTCTCCAAGTGGAAAAGCTGCTCTTGCTTTGGGAATGTCCCCTTCTCTCTTACGTTTACCCCCAAATATGCTAATCATTACTTATAGATGCTTCTATTTTTGAAATACAAAAAATAAAATTTACCACTAAGAGAAAAATACTTTCTCCCTGGAATTTTCAGCTCATAGAACTTTCCTCTAAATAATACTTTCCAGTAATGCAGATTATGAAATTATATTTTTACTTCATTATGTGGTATTTTTGATAAATACTGCCAAGAAAGAGTTAATAAATCACTACATTATTTCAATGAATCAGGAATCCGATTGAATAAAAATCAGATGATATAAGCATTTAAGAAATATACTTACTTATCTTGTCTTCTTAATAATGCCGTTATACAACAGAAACAGCTTTCAAAATACTTTGTTCCCTTGGATTGGAAGAGTTGGCTCTCTGGCATATTCATAAATCAGACATCCCTTCTAGAGAATGTTTGAATTGTATCACAAGAGTATTGAAATAGTAGACTAAGCAGAGCGTGATAAACATTCTAGACCTCAATTTTTCTATAATTCCATGAGATAGCTGAAATGACGGCTTGATTAAAAAACTCTTTAACAAAAGATTTATTCTATGATCACAACAGTTAATAAAATAATTAACTAATTATATATGCCATAACATAGATTCACTTCATTGACATCATGATTAGTAAGAGAACTCAGATGTTACCAAACAATGTTCTATATTATTCTATGTATATGAAATTCATTGTGAAAACGAACCTATGGTGATAGGTACTAGAATAATAGTTATTCAAAGAGAATTAAGTAGGAGGAAGCATAAATATTCGTCTTTGAGGTGCAATAAATGAAACATTTTTGTCTTCATTTGGTAGACCATATATTTGTACACTCATGAATGTTAGTTGAACTATAAACTTAAGCCTGTCTCCTTTACTTTTTGTAAGTTAAATATCAAAAAATTTTGTGTAGTGGATCCCCTGGAGCAAGAGTTACAGGCAGTTATAAGTTGTCTGACATCGGTGCTGGAAACTGTACACAGGTCTACTTGTGACAGAGTAAGACAGTGCAGAGATTCCTCAATCTTGTATTCTGGCTGAGGCCATTTCAGGTTTAAGTAGATTTTGATCTCCTTGATGGAGAATTCCATGGGAAATTACCAAACTCTGTTCTAGAAACCTGAGGTCAGGATGTCCTAGCTAACTTCTCTTAGGTTCTGTTAAACTGACTGTTTATATGGAAGGGCCCTCCAGCTAGCCATTTATCTCAGCTTCTGTTATACTCTTGGTCTGTGCAAGAACCCCTCAAGGTAACCACTTGCTTAGAATTATCTTAACTCTGTTAAAATGTCCTTTGTTCTGAACCACTTACAGATAACAGTTCATCTGTTAAACTGCTTGCTTCTGTAATGTCCCCTCCCCTGCACTGCTAAGATGCCAGGATGTGGTTTCTGCCTCTATAAATCCTGTGTTCTGGACATTCAAAGCCACATCTAGGTTCCCCCAATACCTGGATATCCTCACAGCTGGCTGAAATAAAGACTTTCAATTGGCTATAAAATGTGTCTGGGCAGTCATCACTTGGGTTACCTGTAACACTCTAAACCTTTGAGTCATATCTACAGTCAATATATTTTATGAGAAGAAATGCCTGAACCTTTCATCTAAACAACATCATTCAAAGATTATGCAGCATAACTCAAATGGAATTTGAAACTCTTTGAGGTTAAACAAAACACTGAGGCTTCTATTATCTTTTACTTTGGAAGTCTTTTTTTGGAAGTGAAAGGTTCAGGCATTATGCTGGCCTGCCCCTGTTACCTGGTGGAATCCACTCAGGCAATACCCTGGTCAGCCCAAGGTTCCATGGGAAAGAAGTCTGCACGCAGGTGCAGAGGACCCCTTTAAAAAGATAAGCCCCTGCCCCTTTACGCTCTCTCTCTCTGTCTCTCTCTCCCTCCCTCTCTCTCTCTCTCTCCCCCTGTTTCTCTCTCTCTCTGTGTGTGTGCTGTCCCGTCTGTTTCCCCGCTCTGTCTCTCTATGGCGACCGGCCATGGCGGTCAGCCATTTACCCCTGTTCCTCTTCTTAGTCTACCCATTCTACCGGCCCTTATAATAAACTTATAATCAATATGTCTGTCTCAATTTCTCTTTTCTTCTTTTTAAACAAAACAATAACAGGAAGTCTTTAATAATTGACTCTACAGTCATCTGTAGATTACACAACATATACCATTCAAAAAAGGGGGAAGATATCTTAACTTAGGATTCACCAAGTTTTGTTTTAATACCTCAGTCATGAGGTGGAGTATGTCTGGGTCTGAAACAAATATACATAGAAGGCAAGTAGAGATCAAGGTTAGAACACATTTAGTTCCATGTAACCATTCATGAAAAACATTTTACAATAGCCACTTTCTTTTAGTTTATTTTGGAAAGGCTGGACCAAGAACCCAATCTCATCTGTTTGAGACAGGGTCTCATCAGAAAAAATAGGCTGTCCTCAAACATGACCCTCCAGTTTCAGCTTCCCCAGGCAAGTGTTTGCATCTCTCGATCTGGCTCCCAGACTGCTGAAATAATGGGCTTCAAAGAAATGTGAATGTCTCCAGGAATCTCATGCTGGGAGAAAGAAAAGGGCAGGGGAATTCGTCTCCCTGAAAGAGATTTCTCACAGTTCTAACAACTTGTCAGGACACTTAACAGGAGGAGACTGAAGCCCAGACTGTGATGGGGCAATGGTGGTCCAGAAAATACCTTGACTGAGACTGCATAGATGTGCATAATCATGGTGCTCTATTAAACTTTAATCTCACTTCATATTCAGGAAGACCAACTTCAGGGCTTCCATGGATCTCTTTGTCCCACTTTCTAATGTGGACACATTAAAAAAAAAACCTTCTTTTCTAATTTCTACTTTTAACAAAACAGGAGGAAATAAATCATTTTAGAGAACTCTTGCTGTGTTTTGAGACATTTGTTCTGCAGGGGCTTAACAGAAAGAAATATGAATGTTCTTTCTTATATTTCTAAGGAAAAATAATATTACAGAATAAGATAAAACACATCTGAGGCATAAAGGTGACTCACTAAATATTAGTAAAGGGATATTAGTAAAAGGAACAACTCTATCTCTTTTTGTAGTTGGTAAGCCATAGCCACTGGAAAGTTTAGACAAAGAAAAGGCAGAAAGAAAATCTTGAGCATCTCTATGTTTACATAAACCACTGCATTAAACAATTTCATTTCAGATGGTGATATTCAACCTTCATCTCTCTATAAAGAGTGGCAGTTGAGAGTTTATGCCTGGTGAATGTCATACTTTATTCCGTGAATGAAGAATTATGTCATTTCATACTGATTTCCTATGTAGCTCTAACCCCCTGCATATTTCTGCATATCAAGCTCTCTTTGAAGTCAAGAGAGCATTCAGGGAGCAAGAAGAAAATCTGGCCTCCAATTTGTCCATATACATAAACAAACATCTGTTTTATTGTGTCCCTGTGAAGTCTTACACAGAAATGAAAGATTCAAAGCAAAGCAAATAAGTAGCACAATTCCAACTTGACCTTGAATTGCAATCTATATCAACAGCTTCAGAGGTGGAATTAGAGAATATTTTCTGGTCCTGGAAAATGGAAAATTAAAAGACTAGATGTTGGCAAGGAGGATATTTCACAGTGCATTTATCCATTGCACTGCATTGAACACATATATCTGAAAATGTTCCCATACATTCTCCATAACACAGAGATTTGACCCTTGGCTATGAATTCAAAGAAGCTGACATCATATTCGGTTTCACTAAAGCAAATGAGACCAATCTTAAAATAGAAAATGATTTAACTTAATTGCATTTTCTAACCAACCAGTGGACACATCCAAATAGAACATGAGATGATTCAGTTGTTTCTAGAGGCCTTTTGTTCATTATGAAATTAGCTCTTTAAAATTATTATAATATCCTATATTTTTTTGCATGAACACTATTATATTGCTTTCAATGTTATCAAATATGTCGTTATATTATTACAGCCAGTCTTTCTGAGGAGCAGGCAAATAAACACCAAGTATTTGTCAATCTCAGGGATAAACTATAGTGGCAGTGAACTTAATCTGGTGTTAATTAGGCTTGTGGAAAACTAAATCAAGCATCAAAAACCACAGATTATTTTAGGCTTCCTCTAGCATAAACAGAAAGCCTTGAGGGCCCATACCATATTATTTTTGTTGACAGTCTTCCACGTTTTGACCAATTGATTTCATGTTTCTTGTAGGTTCTGTCTTGATTGCCCTTCTCTCTGTCTTCTCTTGGTTTCCAAGCGGGAGTTTGTTAATCCTTCCTATTTTTCTGTATTTAAGCAGGATTACAAACTTCAAATGCATTGTAAAATGAACCTGTACACAATCTTTCAAAACCACTTATGTGACCCAGTGATGGAAGTTCCAGCCTTGTAAGCAAATACAGAACAGTTGGGAAATCTTCCCAAGTGTTTATTTGTAAGCCATTTGTAATTACTAAGCAAAAATGAATAAAAGCTCTGGAAAATGTAACATGGCAGAACCTTTTGCATTAAATTACAGTTTACTCACATCAAGGAAAGTATAATACTGCTTTTTACAAAGTCTATCTTAATTGAAGAGTATAATTATGCTCTATAAGCTCAGTGACAAACAAGTGAAGACTTAAACTTTAGGAACTTTAGCATACATGCTAAAGAATACATCATAAAAGAGAAAGAGAGCAATGGTCATATTCCAGTATAAGAAATCTTTAAAGTTCTATGCATCTAGATAATTACTGATAATATAATGAAATTTCTTCTTTGTATTTTTAAATGACTTTTTAATGATTCTAAAACACATTCTTGTATTTATTTTTTAATCACCACAGAAACTTAGTCTTCTCAGGGATTTGTTTATCTTTTTCCTGCTTTCATTTTTCTTACTTGGATCCTGTATGCCTTCTTTCCTTCATGACTTCATCTTTACTCCTGGTACTTTTCTGATTATTTATTTCCTTTTCTCGCTTTGTTTCATTCTCTCTATTCCCCCCTGTTTCTCCTCACTGTGAGCATTTCTTATGTAAAGGACAGATACTGAAAAACACAATAAATGAGACAAAGTCCCTGTGTCAAAGGAATTGACAACTTAGAGAAAGAGACAGTGCAACAAAAAGAACAGCACTGAGTAAATACTATTAACATAATAATACTGTATTATAATAATAATATAATAAAGCCTACTATATGTAGTAACTGCCACAATAAAGATATTCATTGAAAAAGAATACACTACAGGAAGTAATCTGAACATTTTGTTTATTATGATATTCATTGATAGATTTTAACGAAGAGGTAAGCAGCATGTGAAGGAGTAGTTAAGGACATTGTGCAAGTGTTACAGCTCTGAAGAGAAATGTATCCTGGCAGTAGGAAGCCAAGGAATATCTGTAGCCTGGAAGGGAAAGGTATCATAGCAGTCAAACCAAAGACTACTGCTGTGGAATAGTCCTTCTGCATACTATGAATATGTATTACTCTCATTGGTTAATAAAAAGCTGACAGGTTGGTAGCCAGGCAGGAAGTATATGCAGGACAGCCAAAGACAGAGGACTGTGAGGGAAAGAAAGGTGGAGTAAGAGGAGTCACTAGCCAGATACGAAAGGGTCAGGAGATGAACGTGCCATGCTAATAAAGGTACTTCCACATGGCAGAGGTAAATAAGGAAAATGAATTAGCTTAAAATATAAAAGCTAGTTAGCAAAAAAAGCTGAACTATTGTCTGAGCATTTATAATTAATATAAGCCTCTGTGTGGCAATTTGGAAGCAGCTCGCATGGTAGGAAAACTCTGCCTATAGAATATCTATAGCTGTGAAGGGAAGGTATCCCAACAAAAGTGTTACAGCTCTGTTCCGGCAGGGGACAGTTTCCCCCAAAAAATGTTACATCCCTTGCTCTGGGAAAGGTTCTCCCAATGCAAGTGGAACAACTCTGCTACAGCAGGGGAGGGTTTTCCCAGCAAGGTTGCTACAGCTCTGCTCTGCTCTCTTCCCCTGGAATCTAACAACTTTGATGCAGCAAGGAAAAGTTTCCCCAGCAAAAGTGTTACACTTCTGCTCTGCTCCTGCTCCACTGTGCTCCAGTGAGAACCATTACAGCACTGCTCTGTTCTGGCAAAAGTTGTTACAGCTCCACTAACGGAGTTTCCCTGTGGAAATGTAGCAGTTCTGCCAGGCTATGGGGATAGCCGGTACAGTTCTGCTCTGTTCTGGCAAGGTTGTCACATCTCTGTTCCACTGTGCCCTGGCAAAAGAAAATCATTACAACAAATTTAACTCAAGCGATTTACTGGGAGGGAGGAATCCAAGAGAGTGGCTACTTCTGCCAGTGTGGAAAAAGGGAAGCCCCCCAAATGAGCAGGTATAGGATTTATATAGTTTCTTAGGGGTGGAGCTTTCCAGGATGAAGACTTTCAGGGTAGGGATTCATAGGATCACAATTCCTGAGCTTGGGACAAGCTCAGAGTTTGGTTTGATTTTGTGCTCAGGGATTGGTTGGATTTCATGCTCTGGGATTGGTTGATTTTCATTCTCTGGGTTTGGTTATTGTTCTTGCTCAGGGATTGATTGGATTTCGATTCTTGAGTCAGGTAGAGGCCCGGTGTATTTTCTTGGCTCTTGTTTCAGGGCCATGGTGCTCTTTCAGTGGCTCTTCTTATTCTACATCTCCACTTTTTTGTTTATAATTAATAAACAACCAGGGGTTGCAAAGGGGACAGCATTATTATTAGACTACTTCCTGTTGAATGGGAGCATCAAGATTCTTGGAGCAATCCTGATCGTTATCATGGCCAAATTAAGTAAAGCAAGCAATTAATTAAAGGAACCATTTTTATTTGTGTACATGGGCTGCCTTCCTCCCAAAGCAGGGTCAGCATTGGATGTGAAGAAGATGAGGTTTTTATAGCTCAGGGATATGGGGTTTCTAAATGGGAGATTTGGCAGGCAAAGTAGGTAGGGTTATAGAAGCAGAACATAAGCATATCAAGTAAGTCATAATGTCCTCATGAAACAAATACATGATTACATGGTGATTGTGACAAAGTGGTCATAATAACAGACAGTCATATAGTAAGCTCCTGCAGCCATACAAGGGCCCAGGACCTTCCCCCAATGACCTCCAACTGCCAAGTTCCACCCATAGAACCCTGTAACTGCCCTAGCTGCTGGACTCAGCTCCTCACCCTATAGAAAAGCCCAATCTCTGAACTTGAAATCCCGCCAATCTCCACCCTTGAAGGCTTCACCCTGAAACATTCCATTCCCCCTCCCCAAAAGACTCTCTATAAACCCTATATCCTGTTCAGTTTGCAACTGTTTCTCACATAAGCAGAGGCAGCCACCTTCAGGTTTTTTTCCCTTGTAATCTTTTCTGTGAGGTTTGTTGTATGGTGTGACTTTGTAGTATTCCTTGGTTTCTGACTGTCAGGATATCTTTCCACTTGAGCTTCCATAACAACCTTTTGGAACTAAGAAAGGTTTGCAAGATGGTTATAACAACTTTTTGAAATAAAGGCATGGTTGCTATTATTTGTTATGGGTGAGGCATAGTCAAATCCTTGAGAAATGAGTTTAATAATTCTAAAGAGGAATGAGCCTAGTTTGTCTTTAATATAAAATAGCTTTTAAGCATAAATGGAAGCAGGTTGGTTCATCAGTATTAGTGAACTATGAAAGATAAGAAAATGTGAATATATACTAGTAAATATATAAAATGTATTATGTGCTAAATCAAGAAACTTGAAAATTCCTAGCACCATTTGATAGCATCAGATTTGTGACTGCAAAAGATCCAAAAGATCCATTTAGCATTAATATCAAGGGTGACAGCATGCACAAGACCTAAACATGCTCTTTTTTGTCTTGTTTTGTTTTCCAAGACAGGGTTTCTCTGTGTAACTTTGGAACCTGTCCTGGAACTATTTCTTGTAGACGAGGCTGGTCACAAACTCACAGAGATCCACCTGCCTCTGCCTCCCAAGTGCTAGGATTAAGGCCATGCATCACAACCGCCTGGCAACCTGCACATGCTCAAACAAAACAAAACCCAAGCATGGGGAGAAAATGAACACAAAGTCCTGATCTTGTTTAAGAAGCTATTTGGCATTGATAGCAGTTTGGTTAGAGAAAATCAGGTCTCTGATTTTCAGAGAATGAAGTGGTACTGAGTGTATTAATCACAATTTAGGGCAGGGACCATGCTCATGAGTAGTTGGCCAACACAAATTGGAATCTCTCTCTCTCTCTCTCTCTCTCTCTCTCTCTCTCTCTCTCTCTCTGTGTGTGTGTGTGTGTGTATGTGTGTGTGTGTGTGTGTGTGTGTGTGTGTGTGTGTGTGTGTGTGTTTGGGGGGGAGACAGAGCATAAAGTTGGATAGCTAGAGGAGGAGGGGAGGACATGAGAAGAATTGAAGGAGGGCAAAGAATTTGATCAAAATATAGTTTGAAATTATCAAAGAATAAATTTTAAAAAAATTTAAAAAGAATTAGTACCAAGAAAAAGTGTGTGAAATAACTGAAGGTAGTAGAGCAATTTGGGGACTGGAGCAAGAACAGGCAAAAATAAATGGAAGATTCACTTTAGGAAATGGAGTTCAAATGAGAGAGGAGGCACAATATATTTATCATTAATGTTCATCAAGATTTAATGATCCCAGAAACATCACATTTTGTACTTCTTTTTCATAGCATGAACAGAAGTTATGAAATAATATCACCAAAAGACAGTACAGCAGTGTTTACAAAGAAATAACTTGAAAAATATTTTTTCCAACTTTTTTTATTTGAATTAGAAACAGGATTGTTTTACATGACAATCCCAGTTCCCTTCTCCCACCTGTCCTCTCCTATCCCCCCAACTAAAACCTTATCTGTCACATATCTTTTCTGCTCCCCTTGGATGGTGAGGCCTTCCATAGAGGGTCATCAGAGTCTTTCGTATCCTTTGGGATAGATAGTCCTAGGCCCACCCCTGTGTGTCTTGGCTCAGAGAGCATTCATCTATATGGAATGGGCTCCCAAAGTCCACACCTATGCTAGGGATAAATACTGGGCTTCTATAGGAGGTCCCATAGATTTCTGAGGTTTCCTCACAGAAACCCATGTTCCTGGGGTCTGGATCAGTCCCATGCTGGTATTCCAGCTATTAGACTGGGGATCAAGAGTTCCCGAATGTTCATGTCTGCTGTTTCTGTGGGTTTCGCCAGCCTGGTCTGGACCCTTTTGCTCTCCACTGGTCCTTCTCTGCATCTGGGTCCCAGTTCAGATCAGTGATTAGTTATGGTTTTCTGCTTCTACTTCCACCAGCTGCTGGATGAAGGCATATAAGTCAGTTATCAATCTCATAATCAGGGGAGAGCATTTAAGGTAGCCTCTCCTCCTTTGCCGAGATAGTTAGCTGGTGTCATCTTTGTAGATCTCCAGACATTTCCCTAGTGCCTGATTTCTCTGTAAACCAAAAATGTCTCCCTCTATTATGATATCTCCATTCTTGTTATCATGTATTGTTCCCCTGACTCATACTTTCTGCTCCCTCATGTCCTCAACATCCCTCTTCATCTCCCCTTCTCATTCTCCTAGCTCCCTCCCCTCTCTTCCCATGCTCCCAATTTGCTCAGCAGATCTTGAACCTCTCTCCTTCTCCAGCGGACCATGTATGTCTCTCTTAGAGGAGGTCCCTAAGAAAAATATTTTAATAAAAGAAAGTGATCTGAAATTAAGTAAGTTTTTACTCAAAAAATAAGAGTCTGATGTCTATTACTTCAAAAATGGTCCAGTTCTTACTAATTGTGGATTCCAGTGAATGTACACTGAAGAACATGGTTAAAGTAAAGAAAGATGAAAAACTTACTCTGAGGTAAAGGCACAAGAGAGAGGCTCCAAGCTAGGCTTGACCTGTAACATCTGTCCCCATGTTGGCAGCTTAGAGAACTGAGAAAGAGACAAGATCTCCTGAGTAAATTGGGAGCATGAGGGGACAGGGAGGGAGGGAGGCATAAAAGGAGTGGAGAAGGGGAGGAGAGTTCATGGCACTAAGTGCTTACATAAAGAACCTGTAGAAATCTCATAAGAGCGACTTAACCACACACCTGAAAGCTCTAGAACAAAAAGAAGCAAACTCACCCAGGAGGAGTAGATGCCAGGAAATAATCAAATTGAGGACTGGAATCAATAAAATGAAAACAAAGAAAACAACACAAAGAATCAATGAAACAAAGAGTTGATTCTTCAAGAAAATCAACAAGACAGACAAACCTTTATCCAAACTAACCAAAAGGCAGAGAAAGAGCATGCAAATTATCAAAATCAGAAATGAAAAGGGGCATAACAAAGGACACTGAAGAAATTCAGAGAATCATCAGGTCATAATGTGGACTCCACAAAATTGTAAAATGGAAAGGAAATGGACCATTCTCTGGATAGATATCACTTACCAAAATTCAAATCAAGACCAGATTAGCAATTTAAATAGACCTAGAACCCCTAATGAAATAGAAGCAGTCATTAAAAGTCTCCCAACAAAAAAGCCTAGGGCCAGATGGTTTCAGTGCAGAATTCTACCAGAAATTCAAGGAAGAGCTAATACCAATACTCCTCAAAATGTTCCACACAATAGAAGCAGAAGGGTCACTTCCCAAATCATTTTACAAGGCTACAATTACCACACAAAGACACAATTAAGAAAGAGAACTACAGACCAATCTTCTTCATGAACATTGATGCAAAAATCCTATATAGATTACTGGCAAAATGAATCCAAGAACACATCAAGAAATCATCCATCATGAACAACTAGGCTTCATCCCAGAGATACAGGGATGGTTCAACATAGGAAAATCTGTCAATGTAATCCACCACATAAAAAAACTGAAAAAGAAAAACCATATAATCATTTCACTAGATGCTGAAAAAGCCTTTGACAAAATCCAATACCCATTCATGATAAAGGTCCTGGAGAGATCAGGGATAACAGGAACATACCTCAACACAATACAGGCAATATACAACAAGCAAACAGCCAACATCAAACTAAATGGAGAGAAACTCAACTCGATTCCTCTAAAATCAGGAGCAAGACAAGGTTGTTCACTCTCTCCATATCTCCTCAATATTGTGTTGAAGTTCTAGCTAGAATAATAAGAGAACAAAAGGACATCAAGGGGACAAAAATTGGAAAAGAAGAAGTCAAACTTTCACTATTTGCAGATGATGGGTTAGTTTACATAAGTGACCCAAAAAACTCTACCAGGGAACTCCAACGGTGATAAATATCTTCACCAAAGTGGCAGGATACAAGATTAACTCAAAAAAAAACCAGTAGCCCTACTATACACAGACATTAAAGGGGCTGAAAAAGAAATCAGAGCAGCATCGACATTCACAATTGCCACAAACAAAATAAAAAAATCTTGGAATAACTCTAACCAAACAAGTGAAAGGCCTGTATTGCAAGAACTTTAAGTCTTTAAAGAAAGAAATTAAAGAAGATATCAGAAAATGGAAAGATCTCCCATGCTCTTGGATAGGCAAAATAAACAAAGTAAAAATGACAATCTTACCAAAAGCAATCTGTATTTCAATGCTATCCCCACCAAAATCCCAGTACAATTCATCACTGAACTTGAAAGAAAAATTCTCAACTTTATAGGGAAAAAAAAAAAAGACCCAGAACAGCCAAAACAAACCTGTACAATAAAGGATTCTGGAGACATCAGCACCCCTGATTTCAAGCTGTACTATAGAGGGATAGTCATGAAAACAGCTTGGTATAGACACCAAAACTGACAGGTACACAAATGGAATCGAATTAAAGACCCTGATATTAATAAACACACCTATGAACACCTAATTTTTGACAAAGAAGCTAAAGTTATACAGTGGAAAAAAGAAAGCATCTTTAACAAATGGTGCTGGCCACATTGGAGATCAGTCTGGTGATTCCTCAGGAAAATGGGAATCCGTCTACCACAAGATACAGCAATTCCACTCTTAGGCATATACCCAAAAGAAGCACATTCATACAACAAGGACATCTGTTATTTGTAATAGCCAGAGCCTGGAAGCAACCTAGATGCCCCTCAACTGAAGAATGGATAGAGAATATGTAGTACATTTACACAATAGAGTACTACTCAGTAGGAAAAATAAAACAATGGAATCCTGAAATTTGCAGGCAAATGAATGGAACTAGAAAAAACCATTCTGAGTGAGGTAATCCAGTCACAAAAACACAAACATTGTATGTACTCACTCATATGTGGATTTTAGACATAGAGGAACTGATTACCAGCTTGCAATCCACACTGCCAGAGAAGCTAGTGAACAAGGAGGACCCTAAGAGAAACATACATGGACACCTGGAGAAGGGGAAAGGGACAAGATCTCCTGAGCAAATTTGGAGAAGGGAGGGAGGGGAGAGGGAACTAGGCGAATGAGAAGGGGAGAAGAACAGGAGAGAAGAGAACATGATGGGGCAGGGGGGGTGATTTGGGGGGAGAACAGAAGAGAGCAAGAGAAGAGATACTATAATAGAGAGAGAGATAGTTTTAAAGATAATTCAGGCACTAGGGGAATGTCTTGAGGGCTACAAAGATAACACCAACTAACAATCCAAGCAACAGAGGAGAGGCTACCTTAAATGCCCTCCCTGGATAATGAGATTGATGACTAATTTATATGCCATTCTATAGCCTTCATCCAGCAGCTGGTGGAAGTAGAAGCCGACACCCACAGCTAAACCTTGAACTGAACTGAAATCCAGTTGCAGGGAGGGAGGATAGATGAGAAAAGTGATCTATACCAGCCTGGTGAAACCCACAGAAACAGCTGACCTGAACAAGTTGGAGCTCATTGACCCCAGACTGAAAGCTGGGAAACCAGCATTAGACTGATCCAGACCCCCTGAATGTGGGTGTCAGTTAGGAGATCTCAGAAATCTATGTGGCCCCTTGTAGTGGATCAGTAATTATCCCTAGCATAGGAATAGATTTGGGAGCCCATCCCACATAGAGGGATACTCCCTGAGCCTAGACACAAGGGGTTGGCCTAGGCCCTATTCCAAAGGATATGGCAGACTCTAAAGACCCCCTATGCAAGGCCTCAACCTCACTGGGGAGCAGAAAGCCTATGGGATAGGTAGGGTGATAGTTGAAGTGGGCAGGGGAGGAGGGGAGGGAGATGGACCTGGGATTGACATGTAAAATAATCTTCTTTCTAGTTAAAATTAAAAATTTTTAAAAATAAAATATAAAGAAGATACCAGAAATAGGAAAGATCTCCTATGCTCTTGGATAGGTAGAATCAACATAGTGAAAATTGCAATCTTGCCAAAAGTAATCTACAGTTTCAACACAATCCCCATCAAAATCCCAACCCAGCTCTTCACAGACCTTGAAAGAACAATACCCAACTTTATATGGAAAAACAAAAAACCCAGGATAGCCAAAACAACTCTATACAATAAAGGATCTTCTGGAGGCATCACCATCCCTGACTTCAAACTCTATTATAGAGCCATAGTTCTTAAAACAGCTTGGTATTGGCACAAAAATAGATAGACCAATGGAATCAAACTCAAAACCCTGATATTAACCCATACACCTATGAAACACCTTATTTTTGACAAAGATGCTAAATCTATACAATGGAAGAAAGATAGTATCTTCAACAAATGATGCTGGCACAACTGGATTTGGACATGCAGAAGATTGCAGATAGTTCCATATCTGTCACCATCCACAAAACTTAAGTGCAAATGGATCAAAGATCTCACCATAAATCCAGCCACACTCAGTCTTCTAGAAGAGAAAGTGGGAGATAGCCTTGAACAAATTGGGACAGGAAACTACTTCCTGAACATT